ACTTGTGGGTAATTGGTTCCAGGACCCCCAGGGATACCAAAATCCACAGTTGCTCAAGTGCCTGCTATAAATGGCCTAGGATTTGCATATAACCTATGGACATCCTCCTATCTACTTTTTTTTTTGAGACGGAGTTTCTCTCTTGTTACCCAGGCTGGAGTGCAATGGCGCGATCTCGGCTCACCACAACCTCAGCCTCCTGAGCAGCTGGGATTACAGGCATGCACCACAATGCCCAGCTAATTTTTTGTATTTTTAGTAGAGATGGGGTTTCACCATGTTGACCAGGATGGTCTCGATCTCTTGACCTCGTGATCTACCCGCCTCGGCCTCCCAAAGTGCTGGGATTACAGGCATGAGCCACTCTTTTTTCAAGCATCTTAAGCGTCTTGACAGAGTGTCCTGAAGGCCTGATTATCAGGCTCAACATGTTTTTCACCTTTTTTCTCTGGGGTCGGGGCCAAGGAAATTCATGCAAAGAAAATCAGCCCCTATACGTGGAAGTACTCTAATAAAGGTTATCTTGCCCCACACACATATCTAACATGACCCACCAAACAGTCACAGATCTCAAAGCATCCAATAGAAATCTCCTAGGAATAGAACGTCATCAGCTCCATTTAATAGGGAAGGAAATGGAAAAGAAAAGCTATAGTTCTACAGAATGCGAACGATCTGTAAGACTCGGTCAGCCATAAAAATGGTGCAGTTAGGAAAGAAGGTGAAAGAAGGCCTGTCACCTGCCTGACACACAGGAAGAGGCTGAGAGAGTGAGGGCCCTTCTGACATTGGCCAATAACGTTTGCAACGGATGGGAAACAGGCTCTTCCCTTCTCTGAGGAAGACTCAGCTTTTCTTAAAAGATATTCTAGTCTTTACATATATATGTGTGTGGAAAAGATGACTGGTCAGTAGGTAATTACATTTTAAAACATCTACTTGGGGGTATTTTCACATGGCTTTTAGTAGCTATATCACCTCAGGATAAAATAACATTTAAAAGTAAAGCTTTGAACAATGTGTAAACGCTCCGTAGGTCACATAAACGCATTGACTTTTTATATATTTCACTTCTCAGCATGTGGAATGTGATAGTTGCCAGACGGTGTTTCATGGTATCCTACAAATGCTTTGCTGGGATTGAATTTTAATTTTGGAAACCATCCTTTCAGAAGTAGAGAGATTTATGCATAAGTGAGGGCCATGCTTGATCGTGGGTGATAAAGTGTCCCCCGTGAGAGTATACGGATGTCTAAAGACAAGCTCTCAGGATTTTGAAGGGCTTATCACAAAATGGAGGAAGCCACTTTGGGGGGCATTGGCATGAGATAGAACAACAGTCTTCAGCCTTGAAAGAACAAAGGATAAAAGGTTAGAAGTTATCCCTGGAGCCAATTCTCTTAGGATGATAAAGCCAATCTCTGGTGTTGAAAACACTTGGCCTTCAGCACAATTATGAAGTTGTTAGAAGTTGCTCTAATTCCCTTCTTCATCTTTTCCACCTCCCTGAAAATGTCTCCCTTTTCCCCAGCCTGGCTTCTGTAATCATGATGCTATCAATACTTACAACCGGCCAGGCACAGCAGCTCATGCCTGTAATCCCAGCCCTTTGGGAGGCTAAGGAGGGAGGATCACCTGATCACCTGAGACCAGGAGTTTGAGATCAGCCTGGAAAACATAGCATGAGCCTGTCTCTACAAAAACAGAAATTTAAAAGTTAGCCAGGTGTGATGGTGCACACCTTCAGTCCCGGCTACTCAGGAGGCTGAGGCAGAAGGATTGCTTGAACCAAAGAATTTGAGGCTGTAGTGATGGCACCACTATACTCCAGCCTGGTGACAGAGCAAGCCTCTGTCTCTAAAAAAAATTGAATCAAAATTAAAATTAAAAATAGAAACTTACCTTTGCTGTCTCTTTAGCTCTGTGAGTGAAAGATCTGAGGTTCAGACCCTGCCTCCCTGATGCCTCCTTCCTGTGCCCCTCCACCCTGAGCCTGGGCCACCCTGGGGTCAGTGAACCCATCTTTGCTCATAGATTGCCCTCCTCTGAGAAGATATTTTCATTTAGAAAGGGAGTCCTCAAAAAAACTATCTGCTGTCTTCAAACAAGTCCAAGCATAGAAATGTTAAATACTGGAGACACCTGTGGGAAGATATTTAGGGGCAAGGTGGACCCCTTAAATTGCATCACGTGAATAACTTTCATGTCCGAGGACATACAAACATGATCGGCTCTTACACTTCAAGGCCAGCCTGAGCCTCCAAGACCTCAGAGGTCAATGTCAGTGTTGTTACTAAGACTTGCTCTCGCTCTAAGAGCAAGTGAACAGGTTCTCACTCAAAATCACTCAAATGGGACAATCTGTTTTTTTTTGTTTTGTTTTGTTTTTGAGACAGAGTCTTGCTCTGTCACCCAGGCTGGAGTGCAGTGGTGTGATCTCAGCTCACTGCAACCCCCACCTCCCGTGTTCAAGTGATTCTCCTGCCTCAGCCTCCCAAGTAACTTGGATTACAGGTGTGCACCACCACACATGGCTAATTTGTGTATTTTTAATAGACACAGGGTTTTACCATGTTGGCCAGGCTGGTTTCAAACTCCTGACCTCAAGTGATCTGCCTGCCTCAACCTCCCAAAGTACTGGGATTACAGGCATGAGCCACCTCTCCCAGCCTAATGGGACAGTCTGAATTAGTGAAGGGTGAATAGTGGAACACATTTCTATTTTCAAATGTATGCAATTTATAGTTCTAGATTTTTTTATTAAAAAAATTAAATAGACAACCTTAGGGAGGTTGTTTTAATGAACAGATAAGAATAATTTGTAAGTCACCATTAGTTGCTTATATGTAAATAGCTGCTTCTGAAATGCTTAAGGGTCTGTTTCAAACAAGTTTGTTCTTTTTAAACCTTGGACTGCGATTTAATTCGCATTCACAATTTACTCCCAAACCCCTTTTTTTGTACATAATGCAAAGGTAAATTTCAGCTAACTGATCTATATATGAGATCAAAATTTCTGTGGTTTTACCAGAGTTGCTGTTTTTGAATCCTGGGGTATCTGGAGTTTTATTATGACTAATGCTCAGTTTTAAGGCACATTTAAAATATGCACGTTTGCTGTCCTTGCTTCATGAGGCTAATTTTAGCTAAGGCTGCAGTGATAAAAATCTACATAAATAAATACATAAATAAATAAAATCTACAAGGCTTCCTGGAATTACCACTTTCCAGAAACAATGGTTTCCAGAAATGATTCTAATTAGTGAGTGTTCCATTGGCTCCAGAGACAGTTTTATAGATGGTTTCCATTTGTAGAGACTTGTTCACAACACACATCCACTTCCATAAACACGCGCATACACATACACATGTGTGCTTTTTGTTAGCTTGTTGGCTTCAGTCTTTGCCATCCACATTTCAAATTAACCCAAAAATAAATATCAAATATAGATTCAGTAGGGTCCTGCTGATACTCTAAGCATATGTCATGGCGGAAATAATGCACAGCTCTCTTTAAGAGATCTGGTTGCTGATAAATCTGTAATCCTTTTTATAACATTTCTGTACATTGAAAAATAGGGATCCGAGATCCTGAAGTACACATCATGGAAATCCCAATGGCAATGAAGGGGATATTTTGCAGGTGGCCCTCGTGGTCTTGGGAAAGAGTTGACTTTCCATGTAGCTCTTCCAAACAGCTGGAGAAATCCAATCCAATCGGACTCCAGTGAGTGGAGGTCAACAGTAACATCTGGCTAACCCGTCTTACTACAGCATAGCCTCACACTGCTTTTTCCTGCACATGTCCGCTTTTCGGGAAATATTTTATTTATTCCACCATCTGCAAAACAATATGGCCTCTGGAGCATAAAGGAGAGTTGGACCTCTTCTTCAAATTTGTCTTAGGTCAGTAAACAACAGTACAGGAGAAAGTATTCTTTTCCCAGTGACAGAGTGATTAACAAGTCTCACCTCTCTATTTTTTTTTAGAGTTATAGCTTTTATTAAGTCTCCTATGGGCAAAGATTAAGCCATGAGCCTGTAGCGATTTTCTTTCACAGGGTGAGAGAATGACAGCATCATATCAATTAAGGTTGGCATATTATCCAGCACAAGAAAAATGAAACTCAATAGTTTTCTATGTTGCAGCCTGAGGAAAGCGCTCGTGGGCAGAGTTATACAGGAGGCCCATGACAAGCAGCAGTGTCACTAAAGGGCCATATGATTGTGATTTCCCTTCACGGGCCCTCTCCTGATACAGAGCAAGGGGCTGCCCAGGGAACTGGGGCACTGGCTGGGCTCCAGACATGGGTGCTTTTAAAGATGTGATTTTCTGTTTGTTTTGGAGGAATACCCTAAAAATATTGGCCGATCATGTAAGGATTTTTCTTTTGTTTTGGAACTCATTTGAATGAACCAAACTCTGCTGGAATTCGCGTCAGAACAGGCTCTCTCTTATGGTTTCCAGTATTTCCTGTCTCTGGCCAGTCTGCAGCAATCTGAACAAAGCTTCTCAGGGTATTTTATCCTGTTTGGACTCTGTTCCAGCACAAACCTGGGATTAACTGGAGGCAATGGAAAACAGAAAATAAAAATCATTGAGGAAAAGCTTGGCCTGGCATCTCAATCTCTGCAAAAAGAGCATGACAGTTGACTACGATTGTTTATTTTAGTGGCAGTTCAGTAGAGAGGCAGGAGCACCATTATCAAAAGCTGAGACATGAATTTCAGCCCTTATTCTGTTGCAGCTTACGGTTAAGTTTGCAAAGATACTTTGCCGCCCTTGTAAAGGAGACTGGAACATGGTATTTCTAAAATTCTTTCCAGCTTTCACAGAGTATTCTGAGGGCCTCTGCATTTCATTGTGAAATGCTTAAAGACTTGGACAGATTGTTTTTCTGACCTGGTTCTTGACCTTAAGTCAAAGCGCTTATCACACATGAACACTCTATGATTAGTCATTTCATGTTAACACTCATATTAGTATTTGAAGCAGGTACCTTGGGAATTAGTTACAAACGCCTTATCTCCAGTTGACAGTTTTGCTGATGCAGGAAAATATAGAGCTTTTGTCCTTTTAGAAATGGGCAAATCTGATGTCATTTCTCCCTTCAAATCTTCTCCCTCATTACATAAAAAGAGAAAAATAATTATGGATCTCTCTTCCCAGCCTGCCCCAGGGCCTCTCTGTTCAGGCTCTCAAGTGGTCCTCAAACGCTGAGGACCAGTATAAGTCTGGTACCAGTCATCTGTATTTATAGCCACTCCCCATTGCCTGCATTAGCACCTGAGCTCTGCCTTCTGTCGGATCAGCAGTGGCATTAAATTATGACAGGAGCTCGAACCCTATTGTGAACTGCGCATGCGAGGAATCTAGGTTGTATGCTCCTTATGAGAATCAAATGCCTGATGATCTGTCACTGTCTCCCATCACCCCTAGATGGGACCATCTAGTTGCAAGAAACAAGCTCAGGGCTCCCACTGACTCTACATCATGGTGAGTTGGGGAATTATTTCACTACATATTCCCATGTAATAATAATAGAAATAAAGTGCACAATAAATGTAGCGTGCTTGAATCATCCCAAAGCCCCTTCCACCCCACTTTTATGGAAAAATGGTCTTCCACGAAATTGTTGCTGGTGCCTAAATGTTGGGGACTGCTGCCCTGGACAACTCCAGAGGGCTCCACTCACCAAGAAGACAATGGGATGGTGCCTTTTGCAGTTCTCCAGAGAGATGGCCTTGACCTTGGACCTTCCTGTTTCAATCATGTAGTTCTAATCGCCTTTCCTGAAACAAGCCCTACACTTCCCTGCTTCAATATCTTTGTCCACAAGGTTCCCGCTGCCTGAAATATCTCCAGGACGGCATTGAAGTCACTGTGTTCGTCTATTTCCTCAAACAAAATAAAATCCTCAAAGGCAGGAACTCTGCATGGTGCCTACAGCACAGGTCAAGAAAAGTTTGTGCCAAGCTTGATGTCCTGCTGTATTTTGCTCAGTAACCGTTGTTCAGAAATCCACCTAATGAAGACAGGGAGATTAAACATTGCATTCTAAGTTACATGTAATTGACAATGACTCATGGGAATCTACATAAACACATTGGAACCTGTCCTTGTTTCTAACATACTGTCCCCAGCTCGGTCTTAAATGTCCCCCTGCGCTGTCTTCCTGGCTCATCACCGAAGTCCGGAACTCTCAGAAGATCCCAAAGGCACAATAGCGAGTTTCCATGTTTCTTATTGCTTCATCTTTCTTTTGCGACTCTACATGTTCCCATTTTAAAGTGCATTACAACATACAAGAAAAGCATAAAATAAGACCCACAGAACACTAACATTTAAGACAATGGGACATAACACATAAAGGGGTAAGCAAAGATGAAAGGCATGAGGAGATGTGTACTGTCAGCAGAGCCGTAGCAGGAACAGTGCTTGTCACCAGCACAGACACTGGGATCTAAACTGCCTGTATATCACTCTCAACTCCAACACTTACTTAGCTTCTCTGTGCCTCAGAGTCCTCACCATGAAAATGGGAATAATAGGTTGATTCTAGGATTAAACCCACATTACCATAGAGTTGGTTCTTGTTATCTGAGGTAGTTACGTTCTATAAAATTGCTGAGGGCTGGGCACAGTGGCCTCCACCTATAATCCCAGCACTTTGTGAGACCAACACAGGAGGATTGTTTGAAGCTGGGAGTTCAAGACCCCATCTTTACAAAAAATAAAAGATTAGCTGGATGTGGTGGCATGCACCTATAGTTTCAGCTACTTGGGAGGCTGAGGGGGGAGGATCGCTTGAGTTTGAGGCTGCAGTGAGGTGTGATCACACAACCACACTTCAGCCTAGGTGACAAAGTGAGATCCTGTCTCTAAAAACAAACAAACAACAAACAAATGAAAGTTTACTAAGAACATTCAATTAGCAAATACTCAAACATTGCTTCTAGGGGAAATTCAGAATTGTTTGCTTTAAGCCTCTGGTCACATAATTTTTTTCAAAAAGCCAATGCATAACCTTGTTTTATGTGTGTCTCTATTTAAAAACACCTTATTTAATATATATTGTTGGTTCATTAAAATTGAACTCACTCCCACCAGCACTATAATTCATGCCTAAACGAAGCAGATCAGTTGATAAGCTCATCCACTGATAAGTACATGTTTTCTCTGTGGGGCACGTCACAGATTTCCTGCACTTCAGAACACTAGATATCACTTCAGCACTATGCTTAGAGGCCATTTTAAATAGCAAAGCCCCCAAGGAAAGCACACACATGTGAGAAACAGCACGAAAATAGGAGTATTTTGTGGATGTGATTAATATCTGTGGTTAGTTGATTTCATAAAGGAGATTGTGCTCAATAACGGGAGTGGGCCTCATTCAATCTATTGAAGGCCCTCAAAGCAAATACCAAGGCTTCCAAGAGAAGAAATTCTGTCTTAAGACTGTAGTATCAACCGCTGTCTGAGTTTTCAGCCTGTCAGCTTTCTCTACAGATTTCAGACTTTCCAGTGAGCCAGTTTCTTAAAATAAATCTTAATACACATGTCCGTATGTCTCCTGCTGGTTCCATTTCTCTGAAGAACTCTGATATACTCACTTTCAATTATTTTCCCTTTTTCAGTGATGCAGTTAAGTGGGATGGTGTATTAGTCTATTCTCACCCTGCTATAAAGCATATCTGAGACTGGGTAATTAGCAAAGGAAAGAGGTTTAATTGACTCACAGTTCTCCATGGCTGGGGAGGCCTCAGGAAACACACAATCATGGAGGAAGGTGAAGGGAAAGCAAGGCACGTTTTACATGGTGGCAGGCAAGAGAGAGAGCACAGGGGGAACCGCCACTTGTTAAACCATCAGATCTCATGAGAACTCACTCACTATCATGAGAATAGCATGGGGGACACTATCCCCATGATCCAATCACCTCCCACCAGCTCTCTCCCTTGACACATGGGGATTACAATTCAAGATGAGAATTGGGAAGGTACGCAGAGCCAAACCATATCAGATGCACACCTGATTGGAAATCAGGAAGTCCAGATCTTCGTCTCATCTGTGTCCCTTCATCAGGGTTTTTATCAGTTACATGATTGGGCTAGCCATTCTCTGTGAGCCAATCTAGTTAATCTAGTTTCAAGACTCCCTGGGCAGAGGAAATCATGTGAGCAAAGACCTCCTTGTCTCCACTACCATGTCTTCCAACTCTTCTGGTAGAATCAGAGTGTGAGAGTTGAATAGAACCTTAGAGATTCTGTCATCCAAGCTCTTTGTTCCTTCATTCCCTTGAGAACAAGTGTAAAATACCCAGATTAATGTTCCTTTTCTTCCTCCTAAAACTGGGCATAAACATTTGTAGGACTTGGTCAATCTGTGCCAGATTCTCTGAGCCCTTGGGAAGTCCTGCCAAGTGTGGCCTCAACAACAAGAAAACTACGAGAAATTAACGATCGGGGTGGGAGAGGGTGGGAAGAGGGGATTCTTTGAAAGCCCTGAAATGCTAGCAGAAAATTGATCAAAGCAGAGATGAATTTCACCCAACTCTTCTAATGAGCTGCTAATATTGGAGTAGCAGCCTTGTCAGGATAATTTGTCACACATGTCGCTGTGTGGGCTGAAGCCTCGTCAGAGTCATCTTCCCAGCCCACTGCCACAGGCGACTTGTCTGAAACAAAGCTCTAAGACAGACTGGAAAGGAAAATACAGGGGCAGGGAGGTGCCTTGAATGGCCACTGACAAGTCATCTGGGTTCCCTCCCCCAGATCTTGCAGCTCCAACCAAATCTTTCATTACGCTGGAAGAGACTGCTGTTACTTCGATTACATTTGCGTTACTGCCACAACTGCGATGCCCACTGTCCCTAAGATGCTGTCCAGAAAAACAAATTGCCTCCTGAAAAATGACATGGTGTCAACACTAGTTACCAGACCAATAAAAAATTCTGAGAAGCAAGACTCCTTGCTGAGATGGGCTCTGCAGAGATCCTTCAGCCAGGGCAGTGTTCTCTAGGGCAGAATGACTGCTGGTGACCCCAGAGGGACCTCATTCTGAGCATCAGCTGTGGGGTGGGAGGCTCACACAGTGAGTCCATCCATCACAGGGGGACCCTAGCGCTTGGCTCTCAGGCCAGACCATCAATCGGCCAACACAGTCACCGCCACTGAGCCTCACAAAGGTCTCATTCTTTTTCTCTGCTTTTAACACCAAAACACCAACAAGACATCTGTTGTGAGAAGACCAGAGAACAAAAATATGTAACAGAATCCAAGGTGGAGTGGGTACTGGGGGCAGAAATCATGCCCATGTTATAGGCCAGGTTATACGAGGTGTTCTGAACTGTCATTTGGGCTGGAGCATAAACGACATAATTTTCCTTATGTTTTCCTATCTTTAACAATATGCTAAATCATAAAGAAATTTTACTGTAGCTTTTCAAGGAAGATTCCTAAATCATCTATATGTGTATATATCAATTTATATCTACTCTGTTTCGAACCAAAATAGAGCTGAAGTTGTACTATTTCTATACAATGTTAACTGCGTAGCCCCATCCTATCCAAGCACGCAACAGCTGGTGGGCACCCAGAAACCATCCAGCCAGGCCAGCCTCATCATTTATCATTAAAGTGATTTGCCCAGACTGGTGAAGTGACTTTTCAAAACTTATACAGCTCATGCTCGGCAGAATCATGTTTCAAACCCAGGTATCTTCAAAACCCAGTGTTTTCCCTACACTGTAACGATTTTATGAGAGTTAGAGGAATGAAAGTACATGAGGAGTTCTCTGTGGACAGGGTGGGGCATTTCAGGTTCAAATACTCCATCAGGGCTCAGAAAGTCATCATCTGAGGACCAGGAAAAGAGGATCCTGGCTAGAGATAAAAGTAGAAATGGAGGCAATCAGGAATCGAGACCAACTTCCTTAAACTGAGACCAGCTTAGTTGAGAAAGGGATAGGGTCATATGAAGTAGGATTTGAAATCCTCAGAAAAAAAATTATTGAAGATATGAAATCACTAATTCTGACTTAACCATTATGCAGGGACAATCTGAGTTCGTAAGCCAGAAGTTGCACACCTCTTCTGAGGAATATGCTTGACTGCTCACCTGTTAGGGGTGGAGTTTCCTAGGTGAGCAGTCGAGCATATTCCTCCGAAGACTGCTCACCTGTTAGGGGTGGAGTTTCCTAGCCTCAGACCTGAAAACGTACATATTGCTGATGCCTGGTTGTGCAGCGCTTAGAGGAAATGAAGGAGAGAACATAGCACAAAGAAATCTCACACCCCCTCCCAGTGATAGGTGAAGACAATGTAAGTGAAAAAAGGGAGGAAATTCTCTGATAAAGTCATATGTAATCTTTCAAGGGGAACAGCAAGTCAGCACCACAACACAGAAACAGCAAAGAAGTGCAAACAAATGTTTTCCTCCCCTTTCCCTGTGCTGTCTTTCTAGTCCCATCTCTCCTGTGCCTTTTTTCGTTTGGTTCTATACCAGAAAGGAATATATAGCAAGTTAATTTAGAAGGCACATTTTGGGTGTGGGGTGGGGGGAATCAAGAGAGAAATATCTTTCTAATCAAATGTGGAAAGTCCATTTTATCCATTTTTCTTCTGTTGTACATTTTTTCCCTTCTTCTTCTTCTTCCCTAATCAGCCAGAATAAACAAAATCTGGACGCTATGTGAGATAGCATTTGAAAGATCTATGTGAGACAGCATTTGAAAGAGACCCACTTATCATACACTACGAAAGCAAACAGGAAGAGGAAGAGTGGAGGGCTCAAAGGCATGGCCTCAGCAGCTGTAAGTTTCCCTGTCTTGCAATTTCCCCCCAAAAAGAATAGCTACCATGGTTCTCATTTCTCCTTTCCCCTGTGACTGAGTTGGTGAATTCACCTGCCATCTTCATTGACCTATAAATGACCCAAATTCTCAATTGCAGGGCAGAGAGAGACTCCAAATAGGTGAATAAGATAATACATGGAAAGCACTAAGCACAGGGCCTGGTAAGCACTCAATAAATGTTCCCTGCTGCTGCAGCCATGCTTGTCATCATCTCTGCTCTTCTCATCATCCTTATCATCACCTTCAACCTGCAAGTGGACTGCTGGGTCACATTTTGTGTTTCAGTCTTGTTTTCAAAAATGAATCGGTTAATGTTAAATCTGGTATGTCTTTCAAATATCTCTAGGGCCTTTGGTGAGTAAGTAGAATGAGTTTGGGGGGTATCTCATAGTTTCACACATCTAGAGTTTCCTCTGTTTATCTCTATCTCCCTCTCCAATTTAGTTAATGTTCTAGAAAGATAGAATGTACTGAATATTTTGATCAAATATATGACTATACAAAATTACCCCCCATCCCCTTTTTTTTGTTGAGATGGAGTCTTGCTCTGTCGCCCAGGCTGGAATGCAGTGATGCAGTCTCAGCTCACTGCAATCTTCGCCTCCCCAGTTCAAGCGATTCTCCTTCCTCAGCCTCCTGAGTAGCTGGGATTACAGGCGCACCACCACGTTCAGCTAATTTTTGTATTTTTAGTAGAGACAGCATTTCACCATATTAGTCAGGCTGGTCTCAGACTCTTGACCTCATGATCCACCTGCCTTGGCCTCCAAAAGTGCTGGAATTACAGGTGTGAGCCACTGCCCCTGACCAAAATTACCCATTTTTTGGTCTTATTTTATATATATTGTAAAATTACCCATTTTCAGTCTCATTTTATATATATTGTACAAGTATACATAATTATATTATTTATATATAATGAGAAATTAGATATATGATTTTGCATATATAAACATATATGTAAAAGCTCTGCCAATTCTCTCTATATAGATATAAATATTTGTTTTTCAATTATATATATAATTGAAAATTTATTGTTTTGGTGACTTACTTTGACAAATAAATGTATGAATCACCTTGCATTTAATATCTTTTTCTATTATTATAACATTTTTAATATTATGCAAGTAATATGTAACCACATTCTCCTTTGATTCTCGCAATTCCTTTCTCTCTTGTTGGAGTATATTTCCTTATAATTTATTTAAAGATCTATGAAGGGTTAAACTTTGTGTATTTTTTTCTCAAGATATGTTTATTTTATTGTGCCTCTTGAATGATAGGTTAGCTAGGTATAGAAGTCTAACTTTTATAATTTAGGAATTGCATCTGGCTAAAGAATAGCAACCTTACCAAATAGACTGGTGTGTAGGATGGATGGGACAGTTGACAAAAGAGAGTTGTTTTTCTTTTTGTTGTTGTTGATTTTTGTTTTTTCATTTAGGCTGGAGATTGAAATTCTTAGGCTGGTGCAATTGCTCAGAGAAGCTGTCAAAAATGCCTTCTATCTTTCTATAGGCAAATCTTAAGATGTGGTTTTAGTTCTCATTGGCACAAAATGGTTTATGTATCTGTAATTATTAAGTCTATGTTCCAGCAAGGAAGAAGATAGGACAAGGAGAAGGATAATATACGTAGGTCAGCTATGTCTGTTCCTTTTTATCAGAAAAAGAGAATTCCAGAGACCTCCACCCTATATTTTTCTGCTTACATTTCTATGTCACACAGACAGTTCTAGTTATAAGGGTGTCTGAAGAAGTATTTTTAAGTGGACATTTTACTACTTTAAGTAATATTGGAGTATTGTTAATTAGCAAGAAGCAAGAAAACAGTGTGAAGAAAACTAGCAGTGTTGTCACTTAGAGTCATAATTATTTCATTTATGTATTCAAAATTACTTCATACTTTTATCTAGTATATTCTAGATGGGAAATCTGATGCTGGTCTGTTTCTTTAAATCCTGTTTTATTGTCCTACTAATTCTGTAGTCTTTGTGTAAGTTCTTCCATTTGCTAATGTTACTACTTCTCTTTCATAGTGTTGACTCTCCTCAAATAGTGGTGGCTTCTCACTTGAGTGCCTGTTTCTGTAGTTGAGATTTGATTTTTTTTTTTTTTTTTGAGATAGGGTCTTACTCTGTCACCCAGGCTGGAGTACAGTGATGCAAGAGCCGTGAGGCTCACTGCAGCCTCAACTTCCTGGGCTATAAAGGGTTTTGCTGTTATTCTGTTGGCAACCTCTGTTGTGAGGCTACTTCACTTACAGTTTCCAACATAATTCTGGGAGCAGCTGAGCCTGCTATAGTGCAGGACACCAGAGCATTTAGTATACGCCTTGTGGTGCAATATTTTACTTTCCGGAAGTGGCAAGCCAGTCAAAGCTCTGCCAAGTCTCTTTCCTGAGGTCTCGTAGTCACTTTTCTTTCCTGTGTCAGAAGCATATGCTACTGTTGCTTATGGAGCGGGGGAGAAAAGTACAAGGATAAACCCACCTGGTCCCTCCTTTTGTGACATCACAACTAACCAGTCTCCTGGTGACTGTTGCTCATCTTTTAGTCCGGCTTCTACCACCTCCAGACAGGAGCTTGCTCAGGGCTTCTCCCGCCTTTATGTTGCAGCTATCTCCTGGGCTTGTGCCGGCCTCCAGCTTCTCATCCTGGCTGATGTTCCCTCTGTAGTTTTCCATTTACATTCTTTTAAGATTTTTCTTAGTTTCTGGTTCCCTGATAGTTCTCTTTCTCCTTTCCAAGTAAAATAATGCATATGCATTTATTTCCATGGATTTGATGTGAGAAGTGGGAGTCTGCAGCCTGTGATTTTCCATCAACTAAATACTTTTTCAAGCGTACGATGAAGCACATGTACACAACTCTTGGTTTCCGATATTTATCTCTGTTATCCTAGAAAGTTGATTGTGTAATTACTATGAGACTCAGTTCACTGATGGAGAAACTTGAGGGAGTACTGTTAATTATGATAATTCCCTACATTTAACATTTGGGTTTGCTTGTTTGTTTGTTTTGCATTTTGTTTGTTTGTTTTGAGATGGAGTCTCACTCTGTCACCCAGGTTGGAGTACAGTGCTGCGATCTTGACTCACTGCAACAACCTCCTCCTCCTGGGTAAGCAATTCTCCTGTCTCAGCCTCCTGAGAAGCTGGGATTACAGGCATGTGTCACCACGCCTGGCTAATTTGTAGAGACAGGGTTTCTCTATGTTGCTCAGGCTGGTCTCAAACTCTTGTCCTCAAGTAATCCACCTGCCTTGGCCTGCCAAAGTGCTGGGATTTCAGCTGTGAGCCACTGCACCTAGCCTAACATTTGGTATATATCCTTCTGATTATACTTTCACTCCTAAACTCTTTTTGTTACACCATTAAGGAAATTTGAAAAGCAGAGAATCAGTCCTCATTCTTGTGAATTACAAAGCTTAGGTGCCTACACATCATGCTAGACCACATGATATACCAGCTCTAGTCTGTCTTTGTGTGTCCTTGTTTTTGCCTGGATATTTCTGTCTTGTTCTTTGCAATGCCGTCCAAACCTTTTCAGTTCATCTCTGCTGTGTGAAATGCCAGGAAAATAAACAGTTTTTGGACTTAGCCCTGGGAACTGGAGCTATAATAGCATGAATTCATGTCCCCAATAGTCAAGGTAGGAAGCGTAGGGAGCAAATCAAATCCTGCCTTTTGGAAAGTTAGAAGGAAGAAATTCAGGGAAATGAATGTTTGTTGTTGATCTCAAGGGAAAAAAAAGTGGTTCTAGAAAATTACAATGAGAGTCAAAAAGTAAAAATCTGGCAGAATAAGAATTATTACATAGAAGGAGGAGGAGGAGGTGAAGAAAGAGGAGGAGGAAGAGAAGGAGGAAGTGAAGGAGGAGGAGGAGGACCACCAAGACTACTAAAAAAAAGGGTGATTTTTCTCAAACTGGTTTAAAGTTCAAGGGGCTGAAACATTTTTACCCCTGGTAGTCTGGTCTATGCATGGGTGATATTGGTGTGAAGAAGCAAGATTAGGGTAAGCACCCCTCACTTCTTCTCTCAAACTCTTTCTCTACATCAGGACAAAATTAGCTATTCTGATAAATTAAGGAGAGATGAATATGCTATCATCTTTTAGGCTAATGTGGGGTTCTTGTCAACACCTTCCTTAATTCACTAACAGCTCATATTCTTTAGAAACTTGGAACTGTCTTATTGTGCAAGGTAAACCTTGCCAAGAAAATACCAATTATTTTCAACTGCCCTAAGCCCCCCAAAATTGAGAAAAGGTGAGGTGTGTTTTTGCCCATAGTAGCTTAGTGGAAGATACATACAACCAGTTAATCATAAATATCTGTTTTAATATAGGGCAGCCAATATCAGATGTAAAAATGATTAGTGGGAAGAGAAATATTAGCCCTTGTGTAGCTCTGATACTCACATGAAGTAGAAATTGATAGGCAGAATGTTTTTTCTAAGTTTCTCTTTTCAGAGCTGTTTCATTTTAAGTATTAGACAAAAGTTTAATGAAGCTGAAGGGTCAAATGCTAAACATAACATGCTGTGTTTACAGCATATTCTCTGCTCATAGTGCCCTACTTAAAAACCTTGCCATCTTTCCTGGTGCTCTTTTTCTTTCTACTAGACCCAGCAAGAAAGTTTACAACCTAAAAGCTTCCTTTCACAGATCCCAGATCTTGATATTTCTGTGGCATACTGAGCTGCCAAGAAAGCAAACAGAAATTAAGATGACAAAAACAAATTCCAAGGTAGAAAACTCTGCTCTCCAGATCTCTGCAAAATCTCCCAGCTGTGATCCAGAGAGATGCCCATTTCACATGTTTCTTCAGTAAACTTCCCCAGGTGTACCTTAGCACCACCAACTTTAGTGATGAAATGATCCCATTTTTTTTTTTCCTGTGGGTTCCAGAGAAGAGAGCCTGAAATTACTCCAGGGATAGAATAATGGTTCCAGAAAGAACATTTAAAGGGATTACAGATGCTCTCAACTTATTTAAATTTTATCTCCTTTATAATGGTTTCTCTATCTACCTGAGGATGCTTTTCCAGTTCTCTGAATTGCTAACACCATAGAATATATTACATATTCTGATTTTTAGCTTATATTCCTATGTACCATTTTATGGTTGCTGTCTGTTTAGAATCTTGTCTTCCCCAATGCAGAATCAGCTTTGATTCTCTGAGATGGTTGCTCCATGTTCTTGGAGGTACAGAGTATCAAAGACACTGGACTCAGGGAAGGCAGGGACTTTATAAACAGTGCTTCACTAGGCCTGAAAGAAATGATCTAATTATTATCCTGAAGCCAACACATTTTTATTTAAAGAAATGGTGCCATTTTTAATATCCACATAGTAATAACTGAAAGGAGATTACCGTAAAGTTAAGCAGGAGTTATCCTCTTAATCAGACCCAGAATATATGCAGACGCCTTCTACAGCTGTGGATAGTGCTATAGGTATGCATCATTCCACAAGAAGGCAGGTGAAAATGGGATATTAGCTGAAAGCATCTGGGGTAGGTGGAGGCTGCTTTCTGACTCTGTTTGATATACACCTATCTAATCACAGGGTAGTGGTAGGAGGTGGGTAATAAAATGCTTACCAGATAAATCCAGTGCAAGGAAATATTGCAATATTATAAAGCAATATTGATAAGGTTGCTTTTACAATAAAATGTGCCCATTTAAAGTGCATTCAGTATGTTCAGTAAGATTGGGCAAATGTATACATTCATGTACCAAAGATCCCAATTAAGATACAGAATATTTTCAACACTCCAGTAAGTTCCAATTGTTCCTTCGCCACATTCCTGCCCCCAGCTCCAAGTAACAACTCATACGTTTTTTTGCAGTATAGTCTGCCTTTTCTGGAGTTCCCTACAAATTGAATCATATAGTATGTGTTTTTTTTTTGGGGGGGGGGTGCCAGCCTTTTTTTATTCTCCATCATGTTTCTGAAATTCATCCATATGAAACCAGCCCCATTGTCCTATAGAATTAATGTTTATGATTTCATTTGAATAAGCACAGGAATTGACCCACCCAGTTTTAAAACTTGAGACAGTTATAATTGTCTTATCTGAGTTCCTTTCTCAAGAAACCAACCATCAGGCCTCCCAGACAGTATTGAGGAGCTGCAACTCACCAGATCACTGCATCTGGGCAATGAGATGCTACCAGATCTTTTACCCATTGTGCCGCCTAAGCAACCATCTACTTCCCATTGACCCATTTCTCTTCCTTACTCCTCCCTGATTCCTGTTTTCTACACATGGTTCTACATTCTTCCTGGAAGAATCTCTCTCTCTCTCTCTCTCTCTCTCTCTATCTCTCTCTCTCTCTCTCTCTCTCTCTCTCTCTCTCTCTCTCTTTCTCTCTGTCTGTCTCTCTGTCTCTCTCTCTCTCTCCTTGTCACTTTCAGGTATACCAATCAAACATAAGTTTGATCTTTTTACATAGTCCCTTATTTCTTGGTGGCTTTGTTCCTTCCTTTTTATTCTTTTTTCTCTAATTTCATCTTCATGTTTTAAGTTGATCTTCAATCTCCAATATACTTTCTTTTGCTTGATTGATTTAGCTATTGATACTTGTATATGCTTCACGAAGTTCTTATGTTATGTTTTTCAGTTCCATCAGGTCATTTATGTTCTTCTCTAAACTGGTTATTCTAGTTAGCAATTCCTCCAACCTTTTTTTCAAGGTTCTTAGCTTCCTTGCATTGGGTTAGGACATGCCCCTTTAGCTCAGAGAAGTTTGTATTACTCACCTTCTGAAGCCTACTTCTGTCAATTTATCAAACTCACTCTCCATCTAGTTTTGTTTCTTTGCTGGTGAGAAGTTGTGATCCTTTGGAGAAGAGGCATTCTGATTTTTGGAATTTTCAGCCTTCTCTTGCTGGTTTTCCCTCATCTTAATGCATTTATTTACCTTTGATTTTTGCTGTTTGTGACCTTCCAGTGGAGTTCTTAAATGGTTGTCCTTTTTGTTGATGTTGATGCTGTTGCTTTCTGTTTGTTAGTTTTCCTTCTACCAGTCAGACCTCTCTGCTGAAGGTCTGCTGGAGTTTGCTGGAGGTCCACTCCAGACCCTGTTTGCCTGGGTATCACCAGTGGAGGCTGCATATCAGCAAAGATTGCTGCCTGCTTTTTCCTCTGGAAGCTTTGTCCCAGAGGGGCAACTGCCAGATGCCAGCTGGAGCTCTCCTGCATGAGGCATCTGTCAACCCCTGCTTGGAGATGTCTCCTCACTCATCAGGAGGCATGGGGGCCAGTGACCCACTTGAGGATGCAGTTTGTCCCTTAGCAGAGCTTGAGTGCTGTGCTGGGAGATCTGCTGCTCTCTTCAGAGCCTGCAGACAGGAATACTTAAGTCTGCTGAAGCTATGCCCCAGCCACTTCTTCCCCCAGTTGCTGTGTCCCAGGGAATGTGAGTTTGATCTATAAGCCCCTGACTGGGGCTGTTGCCTTT